TGTCCATGTAGCCTCCTTGCATTTGACTTTTGAAGCTTGGAAAGAGTTCTCCCATCCATGGCCTCAGTTGCTCCTCTCTGACACCCTGGGAATAAACACGTTGTCATACCCATATCCCAGATAAGAAAGCCAGCCCTAGCCTGCTTGCCCAAGAAAAGAAAAGCTCATTTGCTATTATGAAATAATATTTAAACTACTTAGGGATACACAGAGTGAAGAAATTTCCTGTCACATTTATGCTTTTGGAAAACAGCATTTCCAGAGAGTAAGCAGAACCAAAACTAAGCATTAACAGCTTAATAACCACAGTTTTAAATGGATGGAATTTTATGAGATGCCTGAATTGGGCATGCCATGTTTCTAGGTGAAAGGACTGAAAATTGTCATTTTGATTTGTTTTTCTCAATAAATTCTAGCCCTTTCATTAATCTTTATTAATAGGATGGGTAGAAATGGAAAGCATAGCCAAAAGGATGCTTAAATTCCTCAGAATTAGAGTAATGTGACATGTAAATAAAAGCTCCCCCACTACCCACCCCAGCCCCTACCAAAGTCTGTCTTGTTTAGAGAATAAAGTCATTTTTCTCCATTAAGCCAGCTCTATCGAAGATGTCAGCATGGAATTGGAGCCACTGTAGGCACGACTGCATTGCAAGGACCTGCAAATAAATTGCTTTGACCTGAGCCACTTCTATTTAGAACAGCACGGAGAGGCTGTGCAGGTTGCCTGGCATTGAGTGTGGACACACCGGTGGCAAAGACTGCCCCAGAACTCTAGACTAAGCCAAGTGCTTATCCAGCCCCTAGTTTTGCAGATGAGGAAATGAGGATAGAGCCAGTATAGGACTTAACTGTCCACGGCATCTTGGGGGCCGGGATCAGGGGCTGCATTTCCAGCACAGCCTGCATCATGGTGCAGGGGGGAGGTGTGTGTGTGCCTCGGCTGGAGAAGGGTTTTCTGGGAGGTGAAACCCAGCTGGGTCTCAAACGTTAAGCAGGAGTTACAATGGCAGGACAGAGTGAGGAATGGTAGATTTACTGAAAGTAGGAATTTCCGGGTGTGGAAGGGATTGAGGGAAGTCTGGCCTGTCTGTGGAAGCAGGTGGAGGTTGGAAGAGAGAAGGGCAGGAGCCAGATCAAAGACGCTATATTCATTCTAGCCACCTCTACCTGCTCCGTGCCAGCAGCTGGCTACTAGAATGTGGGCAAACCCCCACCAGCCGTCCCCTCTCACGGTGGGGACCTCACCCACTCTCTGTGCACCAGTACCCCTCAGATCTCAGTTTTCATCCAGACCAGAGCTCCCCCTTGAAGTCCCCACCCATCTCTCTCCATCTGCTCTTCCATAGGAGTAGAAGGATATGCTACCAGACATATAGGGGAGAGAGGGATGGAGGCTGAGGAGACAGGCAGTAAGAGAAGAAAGGCTGTGCATTCTCACCCCTTAAGAGAGTCACACCCTTCAAAGTTTTAGTCACAGTCCCAGAACGGTGGAAGTCAAGGGGACCACATGAGCCTCAGGTCTGCCATGAAAGACTTAGGGAGCAAGGTGGAAGTGTGTTGGGTTCCTTTCCAGGGCTTTCTCCTGCTACTGCTACCCAGCCCTGCAACAATACTGTCTTCCACCCCAACCCCAACATGAGTGGGATGATCGTGCCACGCTGAGGCATCAGTATTTGGTGCCTGTGTCAAGGGGGTTGCATTACTGGTGCAGTTGCCTGGAGGTGATGACCAGTCACCGCTCCAGAATGGTGCCCCTTTATAGAATGGGTCTTCAGAAATAGGCTCGTCCTTCTGACTTTGGGAACAGCAGCACCGTTTCTTGCTTACTGTCTTTGAGAATTTAAAATTTTTGAGGTGGGGTAGGCATCTGATTGCTTTGGGGGAAACAAAGCATCACAAAAATTCTTTACTTGCATTGACTTCATCTATTGCTGGAGTTGGTTAGCACTGCATCATGAGAGCAGAATGGGCATATCCCTTCTCAACTCCATGGTCAATGATGTCAACTTGGTGGCTTAAAGACGGCCATGGTGGGAGTATTTGCACCACAGATAGTGGCAGATACTTCAAATAATCACTGATTTCATCCTATTCCTCGGAAAAAACACAGAAAGCAACACTCTGAGTGGAAAATGAACTTCTTTGTACAGATGACGTACCGAATTCCAGCACATGGAAATGACCTGAAAAACTACACAGGAAGGAACATGACACCTTTCACAAGCACTTTCTCAACAACCTTGGAACAGACATCATTTTTTTTCCCCTCCAGAACAGGGATTCTTTGCAGAATACAATAACAAGAGACTTCAATGTGGAATCAGAAGAAATGGGTTTAAGTCCACGCCTCACCATCGACTGGATACATGTGCTCCTGAGTTAGTCTTCAAGGCTCAGTTTCTACATCTCTGCGATGAGGCTGACAAACTATTTCCCATTCTGATCGTGAGAACCGAACAAAATCGTAGGCATTAAATATAGTAAGATGAATAAGAGTTGATCTAGAAAATGTGGGAACCATCTTGCCAGCCAAATGAAGAGTTCCTCCCTTCCTTCAAGGGGAATTCTATCCCCCCAGGTAGATCTACCAATGCTCCAGTGTTAAGCTGGCACTTCCACCTATTCGAGCCATTGCGATTGTGCCCACTCAGGAGAGCTGCGAGGAGGAAGGGCCAATCACAGGCCCTCCTGCTGGAGGTGCTGGTGATGACTCCCTCTGGAGCTGTCACAGCCAAATGCCAGCAAGCACGACAGCTCTAGAAATTTTTCCAGCTGTAACAGCTTTGATCGCGGGGGATTCTCTGGACTCGTGAAGGAACAAATCTTATTAACTGTGCTACAAGCATGCTTTCTTCCTCTAAGACCTCTGGAAAAAGACTTGTCTGTTGCTGGGAGCCTTAAAAGACGAGTCATAGCAGAAGGTCCGAGGGCAGGGCTCTGCTTACTGTTCCTTCATAACAAATCACTCCAACACGCAGTGGCTTAAAATAACCATGTTAGTATACTCACATTTTGTGGGTTGGAGATTTGGAGAGGGAGCAGGCTTGACTCTGTTCCCTAGTATCTGAAGACCCAAATGGGAAAATTCAGAGGCTGGGGGTGACTCAGCAGCTAGGGACCGGAATCATCTGGAAGCATCTTCGCTCACATGTCTGGCTGTCGGCAAAGACCTCAGCTGGTGTTGTCAGCCAGAGAGCCCGCACGTGTCCTGTCCTTGTGGCCTGGGCTTCCCCACAGCATGGTAGCCTCACGTTTCTTAAATGTCAGCTAAGGACTCCAAGGGCAAATGTCCCAGTTTCAAAGACGGAAATGCATCTCACTCTCCAGCCCTGACCTTTACCGCCCTGGCCGCAGAAGTCACTCAGCCACGCTTCTGCGGCATTCCGTTCTTTCTGAGCAAGCTGGGTGCCCTGCCCAATTCAAACAGTCCCTCTTGATGGGAACGTGGTAACGTTCTAGAAAAGCATGTGAACAGGAAGTATTATTACTTTCATCCTTAGAAAACATGATCTGTCGCAGGTGACAATAGGTATTTCTCACGCAGGGCCTTCACCTTCCCATCTGGAGAATGTGGATAGCTACAGCCCTGATGTCTGCCCTTGGCCTCTATAAGGGTCCGCTCCTCTCTAAGCCCTAGTCTGGGTCACATCCATCATTCCTTCACCGTGTCCCCATTAAAAGAATTTTGCAAGCAGCTTGGGAGCCAAAGCCATGATCTTTTCATCTGGAATCTCCCATCCACATGCTGCTCCTGACACAGAACAGAGCCCAGAAGTGGCTACTGAACTGGGATTATTATGGAATATATAATAATTTTAATAAACACTTAATAGGGCTTCTTTAGAGATATTAATTCATTTAATTCTTCAGGGTGTTTCAGGAGGTAGGGGACTAGTGTCATCCCCATTTTACAGACAAGAAAGCCGAGGCACAGGCAGGTTTAATGACTTGCCTGAGGTCACTTAGCTAACAAGTGGCAAAGCCAAGATTTGAACTCCAGAGCCTGATGGCTAGAGTTTGCACGCTTCACCATCATACCACACTGCCTCCCAGGGTATGGAAGCCCTTTTCAACTAAACAGGCTGTTAAAATTTTCATGGTGACTCTGCCACCTCCTTGCACAAATGCCAGTTCTTGCCCCTTTCCGGGTGTCCACACCTTTATCAGGTAACATGAAGGGAGCAGATTTCCAAGGGCCTCCCAGGCCCGTGCTGTTATGAAGTGTTATGACTTCATGAGTGGACTAAGCTGAGAGCAGAACCTTTTATGATACAAGTTTTTGTGTTCCTCTAGAAAGAGCTTAGGAAGTGCTATAAAGCAGAATACAGCATTCATTTTGAGCCGTGCCTCCTGGGAACAGCTGCTGAGCACCAGCTGGTGCCGAGGCCACGTTAGCCCATGGATGTCACAGGGAGTCACAATACACATCCCCCCCCCCCGCCCCCGCCTCAAGGAGCTAATGACTCGGAGGGGCGTGGGGGGGAGGGAGACTGACCAGAACCGGGAGTTACAAGGGAACAGGGAGATGAGAGCGATACTGGAGTGCCATGAGCAAGCCGGTCACGGGAAGCAACGTTGAGGGGAAGATAAAACATCGCCTGGTTCTCATTTTGTGATCTTGGCCCCTGAGACTGTATCCTGGGAATGCCCGGAGCTCTGCGGGAGAGGCGATCTGCTGAGACACGATGTTCCAGTCCACACTGTCTTCCCTGGACACCAAATGCTTGCCTGGCCTCCACTCCTTGCTCTAGTGGGCTTTCGGAGCTCCTACTAAGCCGACAAGAAGAATGAGGGCAAGGGACCCCAGAGTGATGTTCTGATCCCCTTTTAATTCTGATCTTGCAAAAACCCAGCACGACAAGAAAGAACATGACGGATGGCAGCGCTTCTCCACTCAGCACGGCCATGGCCAGGTGCCTTTCCACTTAAAAAGGGCCGGAGGGAGGAGCGAGGTGGGAGAGCCTACAAATTGGATCCCTGCAGCCCTGGCTGCCTGCAGCCGGTTCTGACGCCTGAACTGACTGCCCCATCAAAAGCCAGCACAGGGGAGAGCTGGTGAAAGGTAAATGCCTTCCATTTGTTCCGCTCAGCAGTGCTATTAGTAGCACACGGAAAGAATTTGGGTGTCAGATTTTTATCCCGAAAGCCTCACTTAGATAGCGGGGTATTTTGCTTACATAGCAATCTGCTTCTGATAGGATTTCCCTCTCGTTTTTTAACCTCCCTTGCTTCACTGGTCCCAAGAGCAAAGCTTTGATTTCTTTCTCTTCATCCTTTCTCTCCCCGACCTTCACAACAAGCACAGCAGCCATGTTCTGACTCCTACTGGGTGGAGGCCCCTCCTCGCTCCTTGGACTAACTGGAGACCCTTCTGAGACCAGTATCCTCATTGCCCTTGGCAAAGGGGGCCAGGGTCTTCAGGCTCAGAGAAGTGAAGTCACTGACCCGGTTCCCACCACTGGGCAGTGGCAGGCTTCCCCACCCCACCCTGCGGTGAGTCCCCGGGACCTGGTGTCCCCTGATCTTCTCCAGCTTATGATTCCTACTCACTGCACACGTGTCCACACTGGCTCAGGGACGTTTTCAAGCAGTTTTGTAGCTTTAGTAAAACACGTTGGATTTCCCCCGAAAAGCGCATTTTTCTGGGTTTAACATGGAGCAGAGTTTTGCTGTTGCTATTTAATAAGTAGTAGAGGTTCTGATTACCCTCTTGTTGTCTTCTTTGGTATCACTGAGAACTTGCTACATCTACTTCAAGGGAATAAAATGATACCAGAATAGATTTATGGAAAATGAAAACAGGAACTGGCAAAGTCACTGCTATTTCACAATTATTTGCAACACTTGGATTTAGTTGCTTTTCTCTCTCCCTCTCTTTTTTTTTTTTTTTTTTTTTTTTTGTGCTGTTTCAAATGAATTAGTCTGGATTTAAAACGTTTTGAACTTGCCAGAATGGCACGTGCCTAGCCCGGAGGAGGAGGAAGAGGAGGAGGAGGAGGAGGAGGACTCTGAAAAATCCAAGTATTGATTTTCATTTCACATGCGACACACTCCACTCCAATTTCCCCTAAATCGGGAAGCTAATTTCTCTGTAACCTCAAATGAGCTTGAGCTGCCTCTTTAGAGAACAGAAAGAACAATATCCCCTTTTAAAGAGAAGCCGCTCCTGCTGCGGTGTAGGGGCCACCCGTCTGCTCTATGGTCCGAGGACAGAGGCTGGCGAGGCTTTAAGACATCTCTGCACCTTGGCATCACCGTTTCTGAGTCCACGCCGCATTTGCCAGAATGGCTGCTGAGACGCAAATCTATCCCGTCAGTGAGACAAGTGTGGGCAAGAGTTTTAAATTCTGCACAGCCTAGTGAATGGGGCAATCCCGGGAGCCATCATCACAATCGTGATCCGGAATAGAACCCAACAGTGTACGGACACAACCCTCCCTGCACTCCCATGCTTAAACAGTTTCAACAATCGGACTACCTCCGATCTGGTTCCAGCAAACATGTAATCTATGGTAAGACTGCATGTTTATGAGTAATTCCAGGAGTTTGTGATGATTCACTCCAGGGCCTGGCTTAAACTGACCTTTGGTACTAAAGCCGGGGAGAAAAAGACTCACTTTGCCATTCACTCATTCATTCAACAAACTTTGGGTGCCTTTTACAAGGAAGCTCAAACAGAAGCCTTCAGATAAGAGGGAAGGGAAGCATTTTAGAAGCACAACTGACACAGGCTTCCCACATGTTAAGTATTCATTTACCAAAGCTGGTTGGGAAATTGCTCTGCAACTTTCTGAGGTCATAGAAAGGTGAGCCACTCACTTTAGATATCATTTTGGTCTCTTACCTAAAGCAGGTCCCAGAGATTCCTCTCATTTCCTGTTGGAGCATCTGATGTGGGTCTGCGTGAAGAGCTGAAAATGGTCAAACATATTCTAAATCTATGCACTACATTCACCTGTAACTTACCTATTTCCGGGTAGATTTTCTCCAGTTCTCTCAAAGCAGGCAGATTCTGCAATGAATGGACATGGAATGGGAGGGCAGGATATGAGACGCATATAACAGGCCTTTTCCGGCGAGGGTCACAGGAGGCCTATGACCTACCTCCTTTGTAATGGCCTGAGGTGCCCACAAGAGTCTCAGTCGGTACTTCTGGGCTTGAATCTTCTTAAAAGACTCGGTTCTACCAGCCTACCACCCTGATTGTGCAGGCCAGGCCTTTTTAGGGGATATATGATTGGTCTCTTGGGCCACAGCAGGTTTTCTTTCCTGGCTGGGGCTTCTCCCCATTCCTCTCTGCATCCTAGGTGAGGGTGGAGACACAGAAGGAACTTCCTGGCAAGCAGGTGCTGAGGCGTCTTGTTCTGTAGACATAGGAATGCCAGGGTTTGGGGGAAAGCTCTTCCCTGAAAGGACGCCGAGAACTGGGATAACCAGGCCATAAAGAGGGTGCACGGTTTTCTAAGCTTTAGCGGGAGCCAGTGGGATACAGATGGAAAAGAGCATAGGTTCCTTGGGGTTGTAAAGCAGGGTGCTTTCACTAAGCTTATCATTTCAGCCCAAGCCACTTAACCTCTGACTCCTCATCTGTAAAATGGGGATGATAATAACCCTTAAAGGTTTCCTGGGAAGATGAACTAAAGAAACTACTGTCTGTAAAGTAACAAGCATTATTATCTGTGCAGAATAGCAGGCCTAGATAATAGTTACTCCATGGCCCTGAAGGGGCACATTTTTCCTCAGACCTTTCTAGATTCTTTTGGCTCATCTAGGAACCAAATTGACATAAGACAGATAAGGAGGAGAAAAAAAATTTCATACATACCGGAGCCCTATAAAAACATGAGATCCAAAGGGCAGCTAGGTAACTGAGGCTTATATAATAACATCCTAACCCAAGGAAAGGGGTACTGGTCTGGGTCTCGGGTCAAAGGGGAGGAAGGCCATTCCTTTACAGGAAGGGGGAGATGTTTGGGAAACAAAGTTGCCTTGTGGTCCAGATAAGTTTCATAGGTTTAAAAAAAAAAAAAGGAAAAGTATCTCTGGTAATCATTCTCTTCCTGGCACAGGCCCCCTTTCCAATTTAAATTTAGGCAGTTGATGGGGAGGAAAAGACGTTTTTCCTGAACCTGCTGGGTTTTAACTGCCTTTAGCTCAAAATAATCCTTATGTCAAAGAGACATATTTTGGGGTAGCAAAATCTGCTCCCTTTTAGCCCCTTAGAGTCTCAGTCATCCATTCTAATGCAAGCAGCAGGCACCGTGAGCTGCCCGGGTCTCCCAAAGCAGTCAGGACAATGGAAGACAAGCCCACTGCGCCACAAGCCTCCTGCCCTGGCCTTTTTCTGTCTTTTCCTTTCTTTTTCACCTCCTGTCTGTCTTTCCCAACTCTAAAGCTTGTTCTAAGCACTCTCCACCTCCCCCAACAAGGTTCCTCTTCCAGTCTTCATTCTGGCTTCCCTACCAAGTCCGTGTCCAAAGGTTATGAGACAAGGGCCTCCACCATTGTTCTCAATGAGCCATCTTTGCATCTCCCCGTGTGTCCCCCGGCCCATGTCAGCTCCCTCCTGTGCTACGATCCTGGCCTCCCTGCCTCCGATCCTTCTCCCTGCTGCAATCCTCACCTCTACAACCCACAGAACTTATCAAGCCTCTTACGTACAACCTCTGCAATGGGGTGCACGTACACCTATGGGTGCTCAAGCTGATCCACTGAGCGCAAAAGGGCAAATGTCAGCACTTTATATCTCATTCATTCTAATTTCTATTTGTGAATGTTTGTACTTCAAGCTAACATTTCCTGAGCACTCACTCTGCTAAGCCGCATCACAGCAGCTCTGGAGCACCATCATATTTTAGAGACAGGGAAACTGAGGCATAGCTATGTATAGTGACTTGTCTGTGCTCACACAGCCAATAAGTGACCAAACTCATGCTTGTGAAAGTATTCAGGTACTGTAACACATATGCCTAATTTATGAATAAAAGTGCACAAATTAGAGAATGCTTGAAATTATATATACATATATATGTGTGTGTGTATGTATGTGTATATGTATGTATGCTCATGTATGTATATATATGTATGTATATATATTTGCTATGATTGTACAATTAAAAGTTTTAGATTAAATCTATACTCTTTATCTTGCCTTCTGGATGCTTTGTCTGGCTACTGCCTACCTCTACACTCTTCTTCTCTCCCATTACAGAAACACAGGGTTTCAGGTCTCCAGGTATTTGAGACTGCTCTTCTCTCTGACCGTGATGCCCTTCCCTGAGGACCTGTCAGCACAAGTGAGGGTTGAAGCGCAGCGGAAAATTTGTGCTTTAATGGGAAGCTGTATTGTCTAGAAGACACCTTCCAGGTGATCTGATTCTGATTCTAGGGGAGCTATTTTACAACTCGGAAATTGTAGATAACTGATAGCAATGCAAAATAATCCTTGTTTATAGACATGCAAATCCTGTCTTTTCCCCAGAGGTTCAATGGGCTTTTCTTCTGACCATGAAAGAAGCTGATTTTGCCTCCATTTGCACATTCATTTCAATATTTTTCATCTAGACATGTGCCAGCTCTTTGGATTCTTCTGGTCTTAACATCTGCCCAGTTCCCTCACTGATTAATGAGTTAAATGAAATTTTGAGCACATGACTATCTTCTATCTGTAGGAGAGTCACAATATTATCCTTATTTGAAAATGATCATTAGCAAAAGTGAGTTTTGACCCAGAGCCCATGCTCTTTGCTCTCATCCTGTTCATCAACCAACCATCACCGAATATCTACTTAGTACAAGGCCCCATGTTGGGTGCTGGGGACCAGTGATGGGTAAAACATGGTGAGATGAATGGGAGAAGCAGAACACGCACAGAAACTGTGGGAGCAAAGTGAGGAGTCTCTAGCCCCCGTTCAGAACACGAAGAAAGTTTCCTGAGAATCCAGGTAATAATTCGGATAAGATAATCACATTACAACAAATACTAAAACTCAATCCAAAAAACATTTGACAAAATATAACTTTATGGTGACTCGTATTTAAATGAAGTGAAGTAAACCTTGGCAACATCTGGTTTCTTATGAGATGTGTTAATAATGATATTTGGCCTACACTACATTTTAAATAATAATGTACCCTTTTCCAAAGAATTTAGATCAACATTTCCAAATCCCATGTACAGAACTGACTAGTTGGAGTTGTTCAAGCAATAATCATCAAACAGCCATCCCCATGGAAAAGAAAATAACATATAGCTACTCAACAACGGGACCTGGCCAAAGGAAATGCAAGTATGTGTGGATTTGAAATTAAAACTGAGATGCACATATAAGTATCTGAGCTCAGGATTGGTTATCCCCGTGCAAACTCGTCTCTCTACCATGTCAACTGATTTTATTCATCTTTGCATTCCAAGTGCCATGCCCAATGTATTTATTCATTTATTCGTCCATTATCTGCCCACCCATCATTCATTCTAAAACCAGAATGCCCATTTGGGTCGATAGACGCTTGAGGGAGTATAAATGAAAAAAGACTCAGTTCTGGTCTTCAAAAGTTCATAGCCCTGTGTATAGGGATGGGGGCAAGGTCTACGTGCAAATACCCATAAGGCAAAGCAATTGTGTTCTACTACAGGTTATATTTAGAGGTAGGTGAGAGCAGAATAGACAGTGATAACTTGGATGTGAGTAGGCAGAGAAGTTTCCACTGAAGGGAGGATGCAAGGTGAGGCTGGGCCAGACAAATCTGACCTGGAAGCTCGTTCCCATTTTCAAAAGCATGTGTGTCAAGAACATCTTTAAAATATAATGTTTGCAAAGCTAAAAGCGTGACTTTCCTACACATATAAAACAGTGTCAAAGATTTTTTTCAATTCCTTAATAAGATGTTAAAACTAGTTCACATGAGAACTTAATGTAAGAATAAGATTCAAGATTGGGTACAAACCTGCTTAATGCCTCACAGCCCAAAAAACAATAATCTTCAGGTTATTTAGAGAGAATCCTCACCATGCTGCACTTAACTCTAGGTTCAGCGAGCTGGGCTAAATACCCTACTCACCATCTGCCTGCCTTGGGGTCATGTGAACCCCTCCAGTTGAGCTCACGATGATCCTGGCAGTGAAACTGATTGGATGACAAATGGTCATAACCATCCTTGTTCTTTGTCTCCCTTCTTCCTAGGTTTTACTTGAAGGATAAAATGGTCATAGTTTATAGGAAAGAAGTATTTAGGCATTTCATATTTAGTAAAGGGGAGCACATTCATATTTAAGGTCCATAGTGTCATAAAAAATAACTGTAATTTGGAAATGGGCATTAGATCATACTGGGGTGTTCTCCCAGTGCAGCTCTGGGCTTGGAGCTTTGACTGGTTTTCTAGTGACTGGGCTATTATTTTAAATTCTGTAAGGGCTGAAGTTAACTTGCAGCTTCGCTTCCCTTCCCTTCCCTTCCCTTCCCTTTCCTTTTTTT